GTAAACTGCTTTTTGAAGAGGGTTGAGAAGCATTGTAATCATAGATTGTTGGGAGTTGGAAGGGTCCTTGGAGTCATTTAATCTAAACTCCTTGTCTGGAAGGCAGGGTCAGAGACCTGGGAAATTCCACAGAGCCAGCGAGAGTCCAGCTTGGGGCTGGAATTGCAATCTTGATCCCTAACCTCCCTTGTGAACTGTCATCTTACTCTAGAAACATTCTTCTAATTTTTCAAAAGTACATGCGCCCCTTTAGAGGGACTTAGCCACTAGATCTTCACAATTACTCACAGACCCTGCAGGTGATACTGGTTCTTTTGACAAACGAAGGAGCTAAAGTTTGCAAAAAGCAGTCATTTATCAAAAGTGATAGACAGATGAGCTGCATTGAAACTAGAACCCAGGTCTTCCAGCATTCAAAATGATATTTACACAAAAGTCCCATCTAGTGAGAAACAGAATTGAACCTATATATGACTGAGCAAATTTTCATTGCCTTAAATTTTACCTTTTCTGCTGCTACTTGGAGTTGGGAAACAAGGGATAGATAAAACCTCCAAAAAGTGCGGAAAGAAGGTTAAAAGAGAGACACGAGAGAGAGAGGTGACTGTTTAGGGAGGAGAAGGGGTGTAGGCACAGAGGTAAGCCAAGTTCCTCTGACAGTAAACTCCAGATTTATCACTGGAGAAGTTGCCATTCTTCGGGATCTTCTGATCTGAGAAGTCTCTTCTGCCCCCAGGTGAGCTCCATCTTGAACTCCTTAGATGTGTGTGTGTGTGTGTGTGTGTGTGTGTGTGTGTGTGTGTGTGTGCAGTTGTCTACAAGTTACCTTTCCATGGAGGCTACAAGAACAGCCCTGGGACACTATGCTGGCATGTAGACATTAGAAGGGAGGATCAGGTACAGGGCACTCTTACCAAAGTTGTGAGCTAGGACTAAGATGAAGCATGTCAGATCTTGCAGTCTACAGAAGCTTCAGATGCAACTCCAGGAGAGGAAGAAGGGCTTAGAGGCTCACGGCTGGAGGTGAATGTGTGGTTCACTTTGTGATGTATTGAAGTGTTTTATTTTCTCTTTGCTTTATTTATTTATTTTTGCCATCTTTCTGGTGGATATGGGAACAGGACAGATCAAGGTTCCCAGCTGCTGCAGAAAGATGTCAATTCACTTTACCAGCTGCAGATTGTTCTCATAGCCATCTGCTCTCTGTGAGACCACAGTGGATTGAGAATGGGACAGGGGGCTAGGGGTGGGGGTCTTGGTTCTTCTGGCCATGAGTACTAGAAAGGCCGAGAGACTTCCTCTTCCAGCCATATCTCAGCATGTGTTTTTTTTCCTGTCCCTGGAATTAAAAGCTTCTTGTGAATGTGTGACTGCTGGGAGAGCTCCCAGGCCCGTCCTCTGCTTTTCAGGCTGCTCCTGTGTCCTCTGAATGAACCTCCTCACTGAGGTCACCTGGGAATGAGGGAATCAAGCCCAAAGGCAGCTCTGTCTGGTTCCAGCCTGAGAAGCACGGGAGCCCGCAGGTGCTGGGAGAAACCTTTCCACCAATCCTCTCATTTCACCCTCAAGCCAGCCTGTGCCACACCTACTAGGCATGGTGCTATGTTACCAACTGTCTTTAAATTCCCAAGGTCCCATACAAGTGCTAGAGGGGTTGAAGGCTTAACTTCTGCTCTGCGTGGCACAAAGCTCTCAGTTGTTCTTAGTGGGTAATTGCTGAATAGATGAATGAATGGGTGGACAGTATTGAGGGTGACACAGAGCACCGTGTGTGTACGCACTCTTACTCAGATTAACACAATGTGATAGACGGCAGCTTCTGATCCTGCTCCAGCTCCTTCTGGCTTTGGGTCTTGTACAATCTATGCTATCTGCCCGAGACAGTAGTTCTACCCACACCACCTGCCCTGCATCTCTGTCCATTACCAACCCTAGGCTTAGCACCTTCTCCTTAGAAAAATGTTTCCCGATCTTCCAGATCCAGAGAACCTTCTGTCATTTGCTTTTTCTTTTTTTTTTTTACTGCATCCTCAATGTGCCTATCACAAGTGTATCCATTATTTTTATGAAAGTCTGTGCTCACTGTTTAGGCTCTGCACTAGACAGCATGCTGCAAGGGCAAGGCTCATTTGACTCTGGTTTTCCTCTCTCTCACTGGTTCAGCAGGCCCTGACTATGTGCTAAACACGTCTGTTGAGTAGGTGAATTTCATCCTTGCATTTTGACATCCTTGAAAGCATATTTGCCCTTCCTAATGACACTGTATTTATTTTGTTCTACTGGGGTTCAATCTCAGCCTTTGCACTGAGCTACATCCCCAGCCCTCTTTTTTTATTTCAAGACAATGTACTGCTAAGTAGCTATGATGCCAAGGCTGGCCTTGATTTTGTGATCCTTAGACTTTGGCCTTCTAGAGTGCTGGCATCACCACCACACATGCACCACCAAACATGATCCTAATGCCCCTATAAGTAAAGCTAGAAAATCCAGGTCAATGCTTGGAAATGTGGACCTGAGTTGTGGGGTAGACTTCCCACAGGTAGGCAGAGTCCAGCTTATTCTTCTCAGCAATGAGGTTCTGGGAGAGCAGGTCAGAGTTCATTATAACATCTGCATTTGTGCATCTTAGTACAAATCAAACCACTGACAAACTGGAAGCACTAGAATACAAGCAGTTTGTGGGTGTGGCCTTCATCTTATCCCTGCAGTCCGCAACACAGTACCTGTATGTAAGAGTCCAGAGTGGGCTGGCTGATTTATGGCATAAGTTGAAATAATTGAATAATTGGACTCCTAGAGGTGTAGTGAGCAATAACCGTGCCATTTCCTCTGTGGTTCTCTCTCTGGCCCACAGACGAAGCAGTAAACAGGTGTTTTATTATTCAGCTCTTGGGCAGGACCCTTACCTGACAGATCAGTGGAAAGAGCACTGCAATGGGAGTGAGGAGTCCTGAGTCACCATCCTGCTTTGCCTGTCACTGATGTCCTTTATCCCATCCTGGGATCAGTCCTTCTCTTAGGAAAGAGTGGGTTACACGCAGTGTCTTCTAAGGTCCTTCTGAATATACGGCTTTGTGGTTCTGAGTCCAGGGTCTTACTGTGACCTAAACGCTATGTAAGGAAAGATTCTGCCCCAAAGACACCTGACTTTTGAGATGTGTCCTTCTGGTCCCTGATTTTGCTTTCTTGGCACTTTGATTTTGACTCCTTCATCTTGCTTCTTATTACTTTTCTGTCTACCTCTGGTTGTTCGTCCCTCCATCTCTCTGCCTTATGTATCTCTTATAAAGTTTATGGGTTTCAAAGTCCATAGTAGGAAGCTATACCTCTGCCTTTTCTTCACACCCTCCTTCTCAGTTCTCTCTATGCCTGACCTCTTTTCTCTCCCTGGAGCCCTCTCCCCCATTCAAGTTGCCCTTTTGCTCCTCCTGCTGAAATCATAACATGTTAGACTGAGGCCCAGATGAGGAGCGATTTTATTTTGATCCTATATTCATAAAAGAGCAAAAAATAGAATGTATTTTTCCAGAGCCCAGCCCTTCCCTACACCCCTGGAGGCACCTCTTTATCTAGATTTACACTGCTCTTTCTGATTAAATCTTCCAATATCTATTTGATGTCACACCACTCTCTTAACTGCCCTGCATTCCTCATTTTCTTGCCTGTGCTTCTATTTGAAATGTCTACCAGGAGAGGGGGGCCTTTCGCCTTTGTAGAAAAGGAAAAAGAATACTGGCATTTTTTAAAGCTACTGCTTTTCTTTTCGTTTCTTGCATGGTGAAATACTCATGGTTATCTAGCTTACTCCAGCTTGCTGTAGGTAATATAGAGTAAAATAAATACAACCCCAGCTGATTTCCCTTTCACAGGGAATACTGCCCTGCACCAACTCTGCTCCAACTCTGATGCCAGAGCTGCCAGAAGTCTCAGCCTATTCCTCCTGTCTCCTTCCCTGCTTGTCAGTGCCCTAAAGTCTCCAAGCTTCTTTATCTTCCCCTTTTTTGCAATCCCAAGATTATTAAAGGTACTATGATTGTTTCCTTTTGCTCAGGGATTGTGTGTGTGTGTGTGTGTGTGCATGCACACATGCATGTGTGTCTGTGAGTTTGAAAGGCATTGTCCTATAGATATTTTTATAACCTGAAGCAATTACACCTGTCAGCACAGAGACAAGCTGTGACAAGTTGATTTATGTGTACAGTATACGTGTATGCAAGAAGGAAGGGAGGAAGGAGAAGGAGATGGGGGAAGAAGGTGGAGGTGGTGCTCGTTACAAATCTGCTTTCCAGGAGGCAAAGATGAAGTTGTTTCTATAAAGAACACAAATAATGAAATTGCTCTGACTGTCATCCCTTTTTCATTAACTCAGATATGCTGGGAAAAATAAAATAAATCCAGCCATTTTTATGAAGCAAGAGATGGGATATAAGATAAGCCACTAAATGTTGGTTATATTTAGGGATTAGGGGATGGGAAGGCAATTGACATACGATTTTGATCTTCATCTTTTCAAACCACTTCAATAGTAGGATAGAATAAAATAGATTCTGTCTTATTAATTGTGTGGGCATCTCTAACCTTTCATCACTTTCTTAACTTCATTTGTGAACCCAGTTCCAATCCCTGGGCCCACGAAACAGTATGAGGTTGTGAGTGGCTTTTCTTTGTCTATCCTGAGAGTTACCTTAGCTCTGCTGGGATTCTGCAGCTCAGCATTCTTCCTCACAGCCAGAGACAAAGATGGTTTGACTGTCTTAGACCAGCCACATGCAGACCAATGTGAAATGCTCATCTTGAAGAGCCTGAAAGGATCATTTTCTAGCTAGCCACAATAACAAAGCAGTGGCAGGAAAAATGTATTAATAAAGCATCTTCCATCTTAAATGAATTTCTAAGTATTTTCCTGTAGAGTTAATCATGTATGTAGGCCCCTTGGGAAGGCCTGCTGTTGTCATTATCCACATTCCTAGATGCAAAAATGAATGCTCATTTGTACCTACCTGGGAACTAGATGCAAGAGACAGAATCAGAATTTATCATGAAAGGAATCATCCTGGCCATTTTCAGCCCTGAAGGGAAATGACTCCAAAGTCTCCTTCTGAATGAGTCCTCCCTCTTCTGAATGGCTAGCATGTTTTCACTTGATGATGTCTAAGAAGGGGTTTGGAAAGATAGAGGAGAAAAGATGGTTGGAATGGATGGATGGATTATGAATGATGCATAGACTTTTAGAGAAGAACCCCAAATTCTTCAGAGTGAAAAATCAGTAAAGATAACCTCATGTCTGCTTTCACACAACAGTTCGACTTGGTGAAATCATTCAATTTCCAATTTCCACAAATATCCATTGGAAAACACAAATAAAATTGACTGGTGCTAGAATAGGTTAATTCTCCTTTCCTTTCAAAAGTATAAATGAAATTTGTTGTTTTCCAGAGATATGTTTTTTCTTTTTGATAGTAAAGTCACTCATTGAGGTCATCAGTTCACAATTGGTATTTTTGGTGCTCCAGTGGCCAAAGGTAGCAGATTGATTTCCCTGAAAATTTAGTATCAGTAAAAGACCAGAGGAGATAGGAATAAATTGGCCTAATTAAATACATAGTATTCTGAGGTCTTCAGTGTAAAGTTGCTCAGCTTTTCATGGTTAACTAGAAATAGAAGGCAAGAAGCTTTCTGATCTTCCACCATGTCCAAAGCCTGCCTATGCCCTTATTCTCCACAGCTGTTGGTGTGAGGGGATATGGTGAGGGAATGACTTGCAGCATCCTTAACATGCTGTCTGTAGGTAAATAACTGCCATTGCTCCTAAGCTGGAAGGGACCTATTATGGTACTCAAGTCCTTTAGTTATAATAATTCAGACTCTTGATTGCTGGATGACTTGAAGAAGAATAATTCTGTTAGTTCATAGTAGTTTTGAAAAATAATGCAATAATGATGAGATAAATGTGTTTAAAGTGAGTGGGAGTATTTGAGGAAGATTAAAAAAAATACTGATTGGATTTGGTAGAAACTCCAAAGGCAGAAACAAAGCCAAGGTTGCCTCCTTTCTATTACCAGGGAAAATTTAGGTCAGCACTGGTAGCTTAGGTCTGGGAACTCCTCAAAAAAGAGTCTTTTACTGTTAGCACCTCTGAGCCTGTTGTGTCCCCTGCACCGGGACTAGCTGATTAAGGCACTCCACCCTGTTCCAGCAGAGCTGAAGTGAGAGGAGAAGCGATAGGGCAGAGAGAAGCAGTGCAGATGGACTCGCATAGGTCTTTCTCTTGGTTTCAAGAATTCGAAAACCACACCTCTTACAGAGGAATTCGGTTGTGCATGGGAGTCTGCTGTACAAATGGAGCCAGGCTTACATGCATGCATTCCAGGATGCACTTTGGCAGGGCTGGCATCTTTTAATGCCCCCAAAACAAAAATAAAGGGGATGGCAGTTGGTGTCAGAACCTGGCCAGTATTGCTGATGCGATTTCATCTGTTTCACACACTGAAAGTCATTTCTTTTACACTTGGTAGATCTCTGGATGGTGGTGTGGAGCCTATGGGGGGGGGGGTTCTAAGTAGCTGCTGGGGGTGGAGGAATGGGTGTTGTACCTCTGAATCAAAATGAGATTCTTTTAAATATCCAACACCCTAAATGTACTCTAAATGCTAATGGATTAATCTGATCATTTAAAGGTGCTTGTGTATGCATGCGGCAGGTTTTCCTCTCCTGGTTAATCAGTTTGTGACTCTATTGAGGAGACTGGGGCTTATTAAGATTTCATGGTAACTTTGTCTTTCTTGTTCATTTGGAAGTGCCTGCTCTTCCAGGGGAAATGGTTAAACTCCCGGCCAGGGCTGGTGTAGGACCTCGCCTGCCTGGCGCGGCGGGGGTTAAGTTGGACCCGCACCCCGCGCCCCGTGCCCGCACCCCCGGGATGAGCGCAGCAGTTCGCGCAGCCCGCTCGCTCCAGTCAGCACCCGGGGAAAGTGGTGGTCAGGGATGGAGCTGCTGCCATGACAACCCCGGTGGTCTGGGCCCGCGCGCGTCGGGGCTGCTCCCGGGAGGAAGGCGGCGCCGAGGCCGGGGGCGGCCGCTGAGCAGAGCGTGGCATCCGCGCGGCTCGGAGCCGGCTTCGCCTCGCTTTCCCCAGGAGCCGCCCACGAGCGAGCAGGGGCCGCCGCCGCTGCTCCCGCCGGCCGCTCCGCCCTGCCCGGGGGCCGCCTGCACCGCGGTGGCTGCAGCCCTCACCCAGGCTCCGCGGAAGTTGGCCTAGGCGGCTGCGGCAGCATCACGGTCCAGATCACACGAACCGGCTCAGTGCTCGCCGCCTCCTGCGCGCTCTACTTTTCGCCAGCTATTGTTACAGACTGTCTCTGGCGCCGAGCTTCCTCCGAAACTTGCAGAGAAAGTGTTGGCTTTCCCCGTATGCGAACTGAGGAATTGCAGACCACATCTGGGTAGCTGGATGCAGCCCACCCCCAACCCCCTCTGGTACCAAAGTGCTTACTCCTCTCCAAAGTGCCATGTCTGAACTGTGCACGGGAAGAAGCGGCTCCTGAAACGCGCGCCTGTGCCCCTGCCTTGCACTTACGTCCTCGGCCACCTTCCCGGCCCGCGCGCACGGAGGAAGCCCCCTTTGGATGCCTTCCGTGGAAACCGGTTCTCCAAGGCTGGCAAGCTGAGGCTGGATTTGGGGGAGGCACATTAGACTTGGAGGAGTCTGCGCGCTCTCTCCTGCCCGCGCCTCCTGGTCGCCGCCCGCTCGCGGCTCCGCGCTCCGCGCTCGCTCCCATCCCCGCCCGCCTCCTGTGCTCGCCCGGGGGGCGTGCGCCTTGCCGCTGCCGCCGAGTTCTGGGAAGTTGTGGCAGTCGAGGATGGGTGTCTGTGGGTACCTGTTCCTGCCCTGGAAGTGCCTCGTGGTCGTGTCTCTCAGGCTGCTGTTCCTTGTACCCACAGGAGTGCCCGTGCGGAGCGGAGATGCCACTTTCCCCAAAGCGATGGACAACGTGACGGTCCGGCAGGGGGAGAGCGCCACCCTCAGGTAGGGAGCTGCCATTGTGCGAATGACGGTGTTTCGGGCTGAGGGCGAGGGCAGGGGGACAGCCGAGTGCGCTGGAGCGTGCCCGGGCTTGCAGATAGGTGGCCCGCTGCAGGATTCATGGAGGAACTGGGTGCTCTGTTCGGAAATGTGGCAGTGGTAGAGAAATGCTCAGAGGTCTGGGGGTGAGCTCTTTGCACAGGACTGGTCTCCCTGGCTCGGGGAGTGCGGAGGGTGAGGGGGGACAGGGACAGGGGGTTGCTGAAATGGAGGGCAGTGGTCTTGGAGCTGGCAGTGCCCGCGCCTCGTGGTCGTGGTGTCTGCGGACCTGGGGGAGGCTCAGCCTGAGCTGTCTCTGAAGTTAATGGGCCCCACAGGAGGGAACTGGCTTAGTGTGTATGCCTGCACTCTGCCCAGGCCCTGGGGAGGTGCCACCCAGGGCTGCTGGACTCTGGCAGAGTCTCTGCTTTGTCCTGGGCCTGAATGCCAGCGCTTTCCAGGGCTCCTTCATGCCAGGAGCTGGTGGGCAGGCAGAAATGCTTTCTACGGTAGGAGCGTGGCTTTCTGGGGCCGAAGTCATGGAGTCTGATTTGTTCATGGAAAATGACATTCAATCGGGTGGACCTTGCTGTGAAGGTGCTTCCCACCAAAGTGGTGTGTGTAAAACTCAACACAGAACAGAAACTAGGCTTCGGCATTGTGTTGGGTTCTGATTGGCTTCTGGGGTTAAGGCTTACAGGAACAGGGAGGAGGAGGAAAGGAATCTTGGCTCTGCTTTGTGTAAAGTAGGACAGCTCTAGCTCCCCAGTTATGTTTCTTACAGAAGCACTAACTGCATTTCCAGGGCGGACAGACCACACCAACCATACCAGGTCAACACACTTAATGACTGAAATGGAAATTTTACCCTTTGGAATTTTTAGAAGTTTAAAAGCTTTGTGGGACAACTTCCTTGCCTCTCTTTGACTTATCATGCCCTCATTCATAATTTCCCAAACTGGGTAATTGAACCATCCGGAAGGCAACATGAGAAAATTCTCATGCTTTGCACATGGAGATACTTGGAAAGATAACTTTCCTTCTGGTGTCTACTGCTTTGGCCCTGATGACTGTTCTTCATAGATCAGATTGTTTGTGGATTGCATGTTTAGGACAATACTTGTGGGCTAGAAATCCTGAGGAGGGTCCTAGTGATAGAGGTGACTTAGCAGGGCATTGCTCAAGGAAGTGTGTCACATATGGGACCAAGGAAGGGAGAAGTGTCCTTAGATCCTTTGGTTCTGGGGAGCTAATCCTCAAGGCCTCACCAAACTTCTAGTTATTCACTAGTTCCTGGAGCTCTTTCACTGAACTCTTTGGGAGCCACTTGGTCCAAGGTAGGATATCTAACTGCACCCTCTCTGAAATGGCTATGTATCTGCTTCATAAATGGATTTGATGAAAGTGGAAAAAATACAGTGATTTCAGACAACTTAAATAGAAGAACAAAACTGAACCTCTAAAGCAACATAGTCAAGGAAATTTAATGTCTCCCAGATGGCTTTCTTGTCCCTAACCCTTGGTTGTAAGGATGAGCTCTCCAGATATGAAATAGAGACATTCTCACTTGGGGAGCACGTTAGGTACAAATAGGAATTTATTTCCCCAAGGAGAAGGTGGAAGGTAGTCATCAGCTCCGTAGAAATTTGATGATAAATAAATAGCCATTTGGCCTTGATGGGCCAAATGCCACATCATGGGAAACATGAGGAGGAGTAGAGTAGCCACCATCTAGTTGCCAGAAGGTAGCTTTCAAGGCTCATGAGAATTAGGACTTTCCAGAGAGTGGCTGCCTTTAGCAGATCCTGGACCGAGGGATAGGCCTGGTGTGGGGGTGGGACAGTTTTTTTTTTTTAAAATAGTATTATCATGTACAGGCTGACTTCACTTTTTTTGTCTTTCGTTCTGTGCTTCCCTGTCTCTTGCAAGCATTAATGTTTGTTTACATTTTTATATATGGTGTCTACAGAGTGTGTATGTCTAAGTGTAGACAGAGGAATGGAGACATGATGGGGTTTCCTCTCTAGACCCTTAAATGAACCCCAAATCAGCTATGCACCAAAAGACACCTGCCCCACAACATCTCCTGACATTGTGTGTCAGCCTCAGGGACTAGATATTGTCTTGACATGGAAGGGGAAGACCTTCACAGTGCGTGGGGCTCTACAGGGCAAGGATTAGATGAGCTTGGGTCTAATTGACACTAGCCATTGGTCGTGGCCTTGATTTAGGACTGAAATTGAACACCAGATGTACCAGGAAATCTGTGCATAGGACAGCCAATGCCTGTCCTGGGTCTCCTATGATAAGGCACTAGAATAAGAACTGACTGACTTGAGGGGCACTTCTGTAGGGTAGAAGCCCTGAAGTTTCCACATAGGCTCTGCCTTTTTTAATTCCATGTGCAGAGACGCAAGTAGGGATTTCAGAATGTATTTTGTTTGCATAAAAATTGCTAAATTTGCACATAACCTGATTCCAGGTTGCAACAAGTTAGTTAAGAATTCTGAGTTATTTTATTTTTGTTTTTTTAATCATGTGTGCAGAACCTGCAAGTTCCCGCCTTCTTCCTTCCTTTTTTTTTCTTTTTGTCTAATCGTATAACTAAGCTGCAGGGAACTATAACAGGTGGAGGTCTGAGCCCTTCTGCTTGGCTCTGGGAGGACACCCTTATCCACCTTGCTGTGGGACTGTAGTTTCTTTCATAACCAGCAGAGGACTTTTTGCTCTAATTTTATTGTACTCTGCTTTGTTCTTACCGGTATGATTTTTGGAAGATTTTTTCCTGTCCTCAAAGAATAAATGCTTCGGTAGCAGTTTCTAAATTGAGGAAACTTTTAAAAATGTTTTACTTTATTCAGTTAGTTCTAATGGTCTTTGCAGAGGTATTGGCAAACCTCTGTCCTCATATGGCTGTTAACACTGAGAAGAATGCCATTTTGCAATTTCCACCCTTTTTGCCCTCCTGATTATATTTTTTAAAAGGTAAGATTATGAGTAATAGAATCTGCAAAAAAATACCATAAAGTTTATTGAGAGCTCATTTGTGTTGGGGTATATTAAAGTGTTTTATATAGTATGCAACCCATCACTCAACCTGTGACGTTAACATGTAACCCTAACAACCATCCTATGATGACACTGGTGTTATGATCTTTATTTTATAGACAGGTAAACCAAGACAAGAAGAGTTAACATCACGTGATTTAGGTGTCACAGCTAGGAAGTTTTGAAGCTAGATCAGCAGGCAGTAGTAATGATGATGTTAATAAGATAAATAGTAGTATCAGTTATTGACCTGTTATGTATGAATTGTTTCATGTACTTGGTAACGTTTAATCATTATAATTCTCTGACATAGAATTAATGATTCTCCATTTTAAAGATGAGAAAGCTGTGGCCAAAAGAGAAGAATTTAAATAAAATCACACAAGTAGCAAGTACAGGAGTGTTGACTTGGGACTTCATTCTATTCACCAAGTTTTCTTTGGACTCCTCCTGAGCTGTTTAATTCTGTTAAATCTGTATTCACCTAAATTCTCAGTGATGCTTAATGTCTTTCTACTCATTTTTAGCTTAGATCCTCTTTTGCAATGTATTTTAACGGTCTTTCTGGGGTGGGCTGAGAGGAGATCTCAGAAAGCAAGGGTCACACCCTGTAATGCCATGGGCACTGGCAGATGTTATTGAACAGATGAATGAAACCTAAACAGAAATATCCCCCTGGCTGTACTAAATGTAACTCCTTATCACTTTTCTCTGTCATTTCATTTTGCAATTCAACTGTGGTCAACAAACAATTTATGGAGGGATTCTTTCAGGAAGGGTATGGAGCCAAGTGCTGTGGTCCTCAGCACTCAGGAACCTCAGGTCCCACTGCAAAAGCCAGGCTGTGGACAAGAATACAATGGAGAGGATGAGGCAGTGTGTGCATTACACATCCGTATTGTGTGAGATAGGCTTCTGCCGAGCGCCCTCTGTCAGAGGGGAGGCTTCCTATGGTGGGACTGCCTCAAAGCCTGAAGTGGCCAACCATGTAGGTGTCCTTCAGTTAAGAGACCTTCTTGCTAAGCATCTGCGCATCACTCAGTAAATTTGCTCTATGTATTTCCTGTTTCTGAGATTCCCCAGATAAAACAGCAGCTAGGAGAGTGAATTATTTCCCAGGCAAGTGAGTATTGGAGGCTGAACTGTACCTTCTGTCATATATCTAAACTAGAGGCGCTGGGGATGAGTGATGTTGTTTTTCTGGGATGAGTTAAAAATAAAAAGTCTGAATTGTGTACAAGATTAAGGTTGAGTTTTATATGGCAACACATGGAATAACAGAAAAATGTGGTTAGATACGTGAATGGACCCGGAGGCTCCTTCAAATTTAAAACGTGAAACCTAAAGCACTTAACTTTTTATTTTCTTAGCAGACTGGATATCTCTTAGTTCTGTAGCTATTCTAAGCTCTTTTCCCTCCCAGTAATAGGGATCCAATCTAGAGACATTTTATCACTGAGCCACAAGGTCTCCCTAAATTACCCAAGCAGGCCTTGAATTAGCCATCCTCCTGCCTCAGCCTCATGAGCAGCTGGAATTACAGGTGTGTACCACCATGCCTGACCTTTTGAAGGCAGAACTATGCCTTCCTCATGTTTGCATTCCAGTACTGAGTTTGTGAAGTGGTTGTAGTGTATAGCATTAAAGTCTGGATGTCTGTCTTCCTACCCTTTCCTTCTTCTTCCTGTGCAGTAGATGCTCTAGCTCTCTTTCTGTTTTATGAACACAGAAGACTTATTCTAGCTGTAAAGCCTTTTCTCTCATCACTGCTGCTATTGGGAATACCCGTATCCCAGATTGCACCATAGATAGATTATGCCATAGACAGCTGTTTCTTATTTGGGCCCAATCTCAAATGGAAACCTTCCATGAAGACCTTTCCTGCCTCTCAAATCAAAACCATCCCTGGTCATTTC